TCTCATAAACACACTCCCACTGCCATGCACATGTTTTGTAAACCATTACTGCAGGGATATATGCTCCCAGCAATAGAAGCTGACAAGCTGTACTCAAGGTAAAGGTCAAACAGATGTGGGAAGTGACCAAACACACTCAGGAAAATGCTACATGGCCTAAATCTGTTTTATAAGCTAATGCAAAGATTTGTGCATACAGCACTTGTCATAAAAATGTAAGCTGCTGGGCTTACTGCCACCTCTGCATGTGAAAGATAGCTGCTTTTTAAACTACATCATGACAGGTTTCCAAATTACAATAAGCTTTCCATTACTACTCGGGCAAGAGAAGTAATGAAACTTGCAAATAACTGAAGGCCCTATCATAGTTTATGCCCCGTATTCCTTTATGACTGCTATTAAGAACTAATTTCTAAAATTAATCCTGGTATTTTTGTCTATTATTTAGCTTATGACCATTGCGCATAGTTGACCAAAGAAAGAAATGAATAGAGGAACAATAAGAAAATTTCAAAGCTACCAGGTGGACTAACTTTCACACAAGAAAAAGTGTAAGTGTGACAATCTATCTTCTTGAATCAGTTTCTCAAAAAATGACATACCTTACTATATTGCATTTTGTCCAATACAGGGTTTCTATGACCAAATCTCAGGAAGATCATTATTAAGTCTCTTTGGAAAAAAAATTCCTCATATTTCTGTTCTGAAATATTTCTGCTACAAAGATGTGTCTATTATGGAGACAAACGCCATAGTCATGATTTTGTCTTGACCTAACCACAGAGGCCTGTTTTGCAGAGATAAAAATAAAGACACAGACAGCTTGAGACATAATTCATTTCCAATTTTTTTTCTCATTTTGCAGGCTGAACAACTCCAATCTGATCAGTCCTAATTCAAAATGCTCCAGAATCTTTCCAGTACCAACATAATGCCACAAAGAGAAATTCCCACACCTGCTCCCACATGCCAGATCACAATCAAAACACAGGTATGCTGCAAACATTACAAAACTACCTTGAGACTCAGTAAATAAGGTAACAGTGTCACAGATTTTATGATTGTTTTTAGGTACAATGTCAGTAAGAGGCAAATCTACAGGAGAGAAAGTAGATCTGTAGCTGTAGGGGGAATGGCTACTAATGGGTATGGAGTTCCTTCTGGGGCAACGAAAATGCTTTTGAAATACACAGTGCTAATAGTCACTTTTGTATAGAGTATGCTTGGTAAGTGTCTACCAAAGTATACAATTTAAATGGGTAAACCATCTCAACAAAGCTGCTATTCAAAAGCAAAAGCAATGATCAAATCCTGCTGAAGTCTGTCCAGGTGTGGGATATTGGTATTCCCTGTGTTTCCCTCATGGAAGAAGAATGTTCTAGCTAAGTAATACCCAGTGTCCAGTGGAGGAACCCATGACCCCATCACTCTCCTCTAACCCCCTAAATTTCACGCACTGACCAGATTCGTGCCGAGTGCCTGTTGTACGTCAGCAGCTATAATAGCTGCCCAGGGATATGGAGGAGCTGGCTTTACCTTCAAGAGGCTGCCGTTCTCAGGACATCCCTCCTCCAAGCACAGGGCAGGACACTGCAAAAAACAGTTGCATGTGATACTCTGCTGTGGGCTATGGGTTGTGGCCAGAGAAAATTTTTCCTGTCTGGAGGGACTCATGTCCACACCAGAAAAGCAACACACAGATCTAGAAGGCACATATCTCAAAGGCAGGGTGGGGCACAGCATGCAGAGGCAGGGCCTGGGAGTCAGTTGGACAGGAAGCTGCAAGACATAAAACCCCCAGAGCTAGGAGCTGGTGCCAGCATCACTCAGCCGTTCAGTCTGCAGGGCTGTGGGTGTTTCCATTCTGTTTTCTGAAAGGAAAGGGGGGATGAGGAGGAGGGACAGGACAAATTATTACTCAGCATTTCCATCGTGCTTAATGTTTGCAAAGCTCTCCTGCTCTTGCTTAGTTCTGAGCTGCCTGAAATAATAAAAGAATTCAAGAAGCCAGCCAAGAACTCTAAGTCCTAAGCAGATACAAGAAACTATCCCTGGGCATCTGGTAAAGCAAGCACTATGTCAAAATTAATCCCAAAAAAATAACCACTATTGAAAGACATAATTCAATAGCATAATCTCTGTGTAAAGCTGACATGCTCTTTGGTGTTAATCAACTGAGTAAGCTCATGTGCTAAATCACATTCAAACACTGACATGTGGCCGCTTCTAAAGACCAGGCACTTAAATCCTTCTTTGAGATGAAAGAGTTCCATGGCTGAGGCAGCAAATACTTTGTGGTAATTTTGTGGTCCTCTTGCTGGCAGGACCCACAGTACCAGCTCATCATATTGATGATATAACACTGATAAATTCAAGCTTTTTGCATGGTTGTCAACTGGGCCAGCACTTTCTGCAATCATCTTGTGTGTCAAAGTCAATATTCTCGAAACACGATGAGTTGTGGACATTTTGAACTGAAGAAGTTTATGTCACCTAAAACAAATATGTGTGTGTCTCTGTATTTATATTTACTACAGGTTGGCCACCTCTAGTCTAAAAACTCAAAATCTAAAATGTTCCAAATGTTGCCACTTTTTGAGTGTTAATACAATGCACTACAGAAAAATTGCACACCATTATTTATTGTATACAAGTATCTGTTTCCGTAATTGTAATTGAGTTTCTGTTTAAACTTGGGTCTCATCCCTAAGATATCTCAACATATATTTGCAAATTTTTTAATCTAAAAAAGTCAAAACACTTATTATCTCAAACATTTCCGATAAGGAAAACTCAAATTATATGTTGAACTATCCTCAATGACCTCCACAGCTTGGTCTGTAGGGGCGTTGCCTCTAGCAGTGTGCACTGGCCAGATGGGAGATTGGCAAATATAAATAATGAGCACACTTACAGTTACTGTTAACATGAATCCTGTGGGGACAAAATGCTTTAATTAAATGTTTCAAAAAATACGCTAGTCATCTGAATGTGGGAAAAGAATTCTAAGAATGTTTTTAAAGATACAACTATGTTAGGGCACATCAAATTTCCACTCTTCCCTGACACATTCTGCTGTTGTTCAATTAGAAGAATAGGACAAGCACCCAGCCCTGGCCCACCCCGACACACACAGAGCTAACATGGGACCGAAGAATTACCAGCACAAGCTCTGAATAGACCAAAATCCAGAAGATGGCCTCTTGGGACACTTACTGATTTAAGAAAAAGTGCACAAGAGGCCAAGAAGCTGAACAGTACTTTTGACAGCCTCGAGGGGCCAGAAAGACAAAAATGAGAATGAGCACTGGGACTGTAATTTAGACAAAATAGAGTAGTGTGATTTCAGAGCAAACAGAGTATGGCATAAAGCATGACAACAAATGCAGATGATTAAATGTTTAATAAGCAGGATTTAAAACTTGGTACTGTTGAACACAATTCTAAATTGGTTAGGTACCTAGAAATAGCTCTCAGAATAAATAAAGCAAACAACTCACGTCATGGGAAAGACACAGAAATTATGATCACGGCAGAAAATACATTTCTATCAAAAAAGCTGAAAAACGATAGCATACGGCTCATTTGAAAAAAAAAGCCAAGCAATCAGAATGGAAAGGTTACACATATAACTTCATACCCAATGGTTCTTAACTATAAGTTCTTTCTAATTCCACATGGAAGAATAAATAAAATTCAACATATGCTTTTTATCTGTACAATGGGAAAAATGTGTCCACAGAGACTGGCAAAAAGAATTCATGAGCTCCCCTGACAAAGAGGTATGACCTTGTGAATCTTGAGGGGTACTACAGTTTCAGCAAGCACGGGAGTCCTGAAAAGATAAGCTGAGGATGCCTAGTGTTCCTGAGACACAGAGGACGAAAGCAGATTGGGGTGGGAGAAGTCCACACAGCCTTCGCTGTCTCCTACTGCCCCTGGGAACTATATGATTACACCAAACTGCATGCAAGGAAAAGGATAATGCAAACCCTCAGCCCTCTGCCAAAAACTAAAGGGAGAAAAGACGGTGGTTACTGCTGCCTATCACCAGGCAGATGACATCTTCCTATGGCCAAGGCGCTCCTCCCAGTTTCCCTTACCCTCTTCTTCATCCTGTACTGTGGCCTCATCTGGGAACCTGCCTAGAATTCTAGATGATGACCTCCTTTGCTATTCCACCATTACAACAGGCTTGGGAAATGCGGGGCCCTGCGAAGTCCCTGTTCTAACAAGGATTATCCTGGGAGAAAAACCTGTTTGGCTTCCTACTACATTCCTACCCCAATCTTCACGTGAACAACTAGAACTTAAAGGTTGTTCTCAGTCTTGATCCTTGATTTCAAGGGTTGGGATTACAAAGAGGATACATGGAAAGACAGAGAAAGTCTGAGTGGAAGCTGGATGCAAAGATATGACCTGTGTTGTATATACAGACACCCCAAAGTAGTGCGTGAAAGCTCTCTAACAGGTTAATAAAAACCACCACAGTAGCCTGACCTAGTTGGAAGAAACACATGAGCTGGGTTTTGGACCTGTTAAGTCTTGACTTATTTCAATGAAATATTTTCAACAACACCCAAGAGACTCTCCCTCATTCCCTGGTTAACCTGGCAACATTTACTGCTGAATAGAAAGAGAAATTGGATTGCCAATGTTGCTTCTTTCATGCCACCACCAGCCAATGTCCCAGGTTTCTCATTGTAAGCACAGCATACATGTGATCTGGATGCACCCTGTAACTGGGACACAACTACAGCTTACTACAGACATACACACACACACACACACACACACACGTACCTTGACTTTGATGTCTGGGCATGTCTGCATGCACAGATTCACCGGCCTATTGTGACATCAAAAGTGTATCACTTAAGTACTTCCTGGATTTTTACTAGCACTGCTTCAGGAAGTAAACATGTCAATGTTGATTCGGAGCTGTATTAATAAGTAACTTACACTGTTCTCATTTGCCCTGGTCTGCTATCCAGACTTACCCTCATACATTTCCAGGATGTGGACTGTGTCACCAATCTGCAAGGAGAGTTCCACATCTTGAGAGGCATTATAGTTATAGATTGCTGAAAATGAAGAAGAAAAGGGGGAAAATTAGAAAACATGTCACTACGTGATACATTCGGGGGTGTATGAACTATTCATGCAGCAAACAGTCCTCTGTTAAATGATTTCATGTGACTCACCCATTGTAAAACAGAGCATAGTGGCTCATTTCCCCAGTCCAATAAGCACTGCTCAGTTGCTTATGTATCACAGACTATACTGGAAACTGGTGATAGAGTGACAAAATACACACACAAGGTCCTGGTCCCTGGGCAATCGAACAATTCTAAGTGCATAGGGAAGACACTGAAATATATAATCTCAGAAATACCTATTCAATTAACATTGGGATAAATGCTAGTTTGTTATGCCTAACCTTCTCTGACATAATATTAAGGACCAAAAGGCTATAAGTGAGTCCTATCTGTCCTCCAATGACAAAAGGACACAAGGCATTAGATGGAGACTGAGCCTTGCCCCAAACCTGGACAGCCTTGGGAACCATGTTGTCCTAGCACATCCTGATCAATGTGACCTTAGTTTAAAGACTTTAGGACTTGCAGTGGCCAGCTTGTTGGAAACAGTAAACAAACTAAACCCAATCAGAAAAACACAATCCACTGTTAAGATGGGCAAGAAATATGAACAGTATTCCAAAAATTATATATGAATGACTAATAATCGCATGAAAGGAAGTTCAACATTTTTAGTCACTGGGGGCAAACACAAATGGAAACTACATGAAGCACCACTTCATACTAGGATGGTTATCATAAAACAGAAAAAAGGACAGACAATTGGCAGGGAGGCCGCACAGCTGAAATTCAAATACTGCCAGTATAAGTGGACAATGATACAGGCCCTTTGGGAGTCAATTTGGCAGTTTCCTAAAAAGTTGAACATAAATTTCCCATACAACCCAGGTATTTAAAAAGAGAAAGGAAACCTTTTGTCTACACAAAACTCTTACATGAATTCTCACAGTAGCTCTGGTAGGCTAAAGAATGCCCAACCCCGCTCCCCGCCCAAAAAAAAGACAGCCACATCAAATACCTGAACAGGTATATGGTACCTTAGACAGCAATGAGAGATCCTTTTCCCTCACACTATCAGAGCGGGCCCTACCTGGAAGCATACTTAACTTTGTAAGAGTGAGACGGAGGTCTCAGAAACAGAGGTCTCAGCGTTGAGGAGAGAAACTGCAGTGACGTGACCTTAGGATAAGGACTGGCAGGAACTGCCAAAAGCTGGAGGGAGGAGGAATGGAACTGCCCCAAGAGCCTCCAGAGAGAGAGCACAGCACAACAGCACCTCAAGATTTCAGGTCTGCAGAACGGTGAGAATCAACTGCTGGTTTTACTCCATCAAACTAATGAGAATTTCTTATAGCAATCCCAGGAAATGAACACAGCTACAAACCTCACAGACACAAAAAAAAGTGGGAACAATCCACCAACTGATAAATTAACACACAATATATGGTACTGTTGTCACCTGGGATTCACGGGGGTTTGTATCTCAGATTTTCAGAATTATAAAACCTGTTGGATTGGCACAATACTTAAAACACTGGCTGGGGCGAGGGAGGGCAGTACAATGGATCAATTGGCTAAATCCTCCCCCTTCAAGCACCAGGATCCCATATGGGCATTGGTTCATGCCCTAGCTGTTCCACTTTCCATTCAGCTCCCTGTTTATGGCCTGGGAAAGCAATAGAGGATGGTCCAAAACCTTGGGATCCTACATTTACATGGGAGACTCAGAATAAGCTCCTAGCTTCGGATCAGCTCAGCTCCACCTATTACAGTAACTTAGGGAGTAAACCAGCAGATAGATCTTCCTGTCTCTCCTTCTCTGTGCAAACCTGTCTTCCCCCCAAAAAATGAATAAATCTTAACAACAGCAACAAAAAAGTTACTGCTTGGCACACACCTGCATTGGCTACTGAAGTGCCAAGGTTCAACGCCCTGCTCTGCTGTGGGCTCCGGCTTCCTACCAATACACACCCTACATTCCCTGGAGCCAGCAGGTGATGGCTCCAGGAGATGGATCTCTGCCAGCTATACAGGAGACCCATCTTGCCTTGTTCTGGCTTAAGTCTAGCCTAGCCCTAGCTGCTGCAGGCACTGGGGAGTGAACAGGAGACGAGAGATCTCTATGTGCCTCTGCTTAGGAATGCATCTGATTTTCAAAAGCAAAAAATTAAAATTAATAGAGCATGTTTAAAAATCTGTGCTAATCAAACCTTTATATAAAATAGTATAGTGGTCACACACAACATAAGCGCCTTAGCTTATTTAAATTACATCATACAGAGAAAATGCAGTGTAAATATTGTTTAGAAAATAATGTCAACAAAGTCTGTGCACGTTTAGTACAGATAAAATTTGTTTGAATATTGTAAAAACTGTTTCTGTATTCATTTATTATTTGTCTTAAAGACACAGCAACAGACAGCCGGAGGTATCTTCCATGAGATAGTCCGTTTCTCAACTGCCCTCAACATTCAGACTGGACCAGAGAAAAGCCAGGAGACTGAAACCCCAGGTGAGTCTCCAATATGGATGGCATAGATGTCAAGCACTTGACCCATCATCTGATGTCTCCCAGGATGCATCTGCAGGAAAGTGGAGGGGGAGCAGAGCTGCTGGGACTTGAGCTAGCACTCTGATCTGCGATGTGTGCATCCAAGCAGCTGAGCCTGCTGCAACCAACATCTGTCCCTTGGAGTATTTTTAATTGAATTCATGGATACAGATGGGAAATTATCCTCATTAATCCACTCAATAGAATACTACTCAGCAATAGAAAGAAGGGAAACATAAACACATGTCACAACAGGAATGAACCTCAAAAACATTATGTTAAATGGAAATACATCAGAACCATATGCTTTCATTGATGCAAAACATTCAGAATAGGCACATCTATCAGAGGTGGTACACTGGGTTAACAGTTGCCTGTGGTTTGGATGGGAGTGCTGACTGCGCAACAGGCATGTGGGAAGTGAAAATAATCCCACAATAGATGGTGATATGTACAAGACACTATAAAATGGTGAAAAAAATCATTTCATTATGATTTTACAACAGGCAGATTTGATGGTATATAAGATATACTCCCATAAGGCTTTTTAATGTTTAAATAGATTTAAGTCTTATCTTTCATTCTCCTGAGTGACGCATTGTTCCAGGGCAGAAAACTGTCTCAGAGCCTCAGCTGCAGTCATTTATCTGATGGCACTGCCCATCCCTAACAGGCCTGATGAGTACATGAAGATACTGATCCAGTGCAGCTACAAGCCCCATGGGCATCATGAAAAAATTTTTAAATAAACAACTAAAACACTACCTGGGGCCAGTACATTGGCACAGCACACTAATTCTCCACCTACAGTATTGATGTCCCATTTGGACGTCAGTTCTTGTCCTGGCTAGTCCACTTCTGATGCAGCTCACTGCCTATGACCTGGGAAAGCAGCAGGAGGATAGCTCAAGTCCATGGGATCCTGTATGCACAAGGGAGATCTAGAAGAAGCTCCTGGCTTGGACTGGCTCAACTTCGGCTGTTGTTGCTATTTGGGGAGTCAACCAGTGGATAGAAGATCTCTCTCTTGCTCACTTTATGTATGCCTTTCCTTTTTCCTATAAATATACCTCTCAAATGAAAATAAATAAATCTGAAGAAAACACTGTTTATAATTAAAGGTCACTGACAGTGGTGGACCCTTCCCATTTTTTTTTTTTGAGATTTATTTATTTTTATTAGAAAGGCAGATATACAGAGAGAATGATACAGAAAGATCTTCCACCTGCTGATTGGCTCCTCAAGTGGTCGCAATCAGTGGTGGAACTGATCTATTCCAAAGCCAGTAGCCAGGAAACTTCTCTGGCTCTCTCCCACACAAGTGCAGGGTTCCAAGGGTTTGGGCCATCCTCTACTGTATTCCCAGGCCACAAATAGGGAGCTGAATGGGAAGTGGAGCACCTGGGACACAAAACAGTGCCAATATGGGATCCCAGCACATGCAAGTTAAGGATTTAGGCACTAGGCTACCACGCTGGCTGCCTATTCTTTCTTGAGCCTGCAGTGCCTCCTTAACCTGCAGCCTGGTGCCATCAAGGTCAACCTGCCTGAATGGGAAGGAACACATCAGCAGTCACTTCTCTTCAAGGCCACTCTTTGATGAAGAAAGTTACATCTTACATTCTCCCCTAAAAAACAGTATTTTTCTAGTCCTGGTACAAAAGTCTGGAATAATTATGCTGGAATTCATTTAACTGGGCTTTTGGAATAGACTATGATTTCAGAACAAAGACTGGCTGGTGAAATGGGCTAGGAGCATCTGCAAAGGATTCTCAAGTCAGAGTTACTTTCTGGCTCCCAGACATATTCACAGGTCACTGGGTTACGGCTACTTTTCCACTGAAATTCACCTCTCCATTTGCCTGCCACTGTACTTAAGACACTTTGCCCACTAAGTATATGGCTGGTTTTCTTAATCTCCTGATCGCCTACTCATTGCCTTCCACTAAAATGGTCCCTTCCACCAACCCCCCTCTGAGAGGGAGACAGGAAATAGTGAGGTCACTGTGTCACAATGTGTTGTGTAATGACCAAACTCTTTTCTCTTCCTGGTTCTCAGTCATTAGGAGAGTAAGCACAAACTCTCAAAGCAACACCTTGCTCTGGTAACTCCAAGCACAAATGCCTACCAAGGACCACAACACATACAAACAGGAAACAAAAACCAGCGTTCCTTAAAACCTAGATTCCTAGGTCTGACAGTGAAGTGTTCCCAAAATTGTCACAGCCTTAATTATCCAGCTACGACTCTAGCATCTTCCAAATTCCACCCACTTCTCCAACCAAGACTCTATTCTCCCCTAAATTCTATAATCAACTCATGGCTTATCAGCAGTCTTTTTCTTCATAGCAATCCAAATCTCACATCCACAATTCAACTCAACCAATCTCTATGATCATGTATGAGCTCTTTCTATTCTGAGGTCCTGTAACT